GGTGAGGTCTCTTAATACATTTCGTTACGTCTGGAAAGGTGAGGTCTCTTAATACATTTCGTTACGTCTGGAAAGGTGAGGTCTCTTAATACATTTCGTTACGTCTGGAAAGGTGAGGTCTTTTAAAACATTTCGCTACGTCTGGAAAGGTGAGGTCTTTTGAAACATTTCGCTACCTCAGAATTATTATACAAAGTTCTCTCAGCTCATACCTTTTTTCCCGGTTGCCCATTTATATGAGATTGACGCCATCTGATTAGTAGAAAAAAGTGCATATTATGATAGTGTCCAATAGTGTATTACGTGCATACTTAGTATAACAAGTAACTGCAAAAGCAGATAGAGATTCCAGGATTATAGATGTGTGTCATTGATCTGAGAGAGGTGATGGTTTTAGATATAATGGTGGTGATGAGTGATGATGCTCTGCTCAATACTTTGTTTTGCCAAAATGTGGCGTCAAAATTGTTGAGTTTCACAATATTATGTTAAGCATAATATGGTCGCCTTTAAGCACAAGAGGGCTGTCCCGAAAAATGTTGTTTCGAGAAAATCGAAGGTAAAGTTTTTGCTCCTTGTTCAGTTTCTTTAAAAGACAAGGAGAGTTTTCTCTATAACCAAACAAATATACACACCAATGAAACCAAATTTCTCTTATAGGTAGGGCAATGCCCACTTTTGGTGAAGGTCAAGATTTCTGGAAACCCCCGAAATCTGGGTTAGCTTGTTTGTCCTTAAAATCGACCATTTTAGTATGTAATTCTTTGAAGTTCTTAAAAGCGACTCCGAATATTCTAAGATTTTGAAGGAGCACACATAGCAATTTGCTTTCTGACCTCATGGTCTTGGTAACTCAAAACGGCTAAAAATAAATTGTTAGAAATAAAATTTTGTAATTCTGAGGTAGCCATTTTTGTATATTATGTTCCTTGCCCCTTCTCGTCCGCTACTGTCGTCCACAGACACAACAAAATTCAGGGCCCTTAGAATGAAATAAAACTCTTTCGGCGAGAAAAGTTTCTCATTTTTTGGCTCTAAAATCTGGAATTCCTTACCCCAGGATCTCAGAGAAATAACAAATCCTAAAACGTTTAAGCGATTACACAAGACTCGTTTGTTTAATTTTTTGTTGTTCTGTTTTAGTAAGTGTTGATCTGTTTTGTTTTTACTGCTGTCCTTACGTGTATATTATGGTTGTGATGTTTCTTCTTTGTGTGGTTGAACTGGTTTTTCTTAATTACTGTAAACTATTTTAACTTGTGTGAACGAAATATTACTAGTAGTAGTAGTATTGTTATTACTATCACTATTATTATTATAATAATAATTATTATTATTATTGCTATTATGGATTTTTTTATGCCGGATTATGAAAAAGACGATTAAT